CCCAATAGTGATGTATGGAAGTGAGAGCTGGACCATAAAGAAGGCTGATCGCCGAAGAATTGATGCTTTTGAATTATGGTGCTGGAGGAGACTCTTGAGAGTCCCATGGACTGCAAGAAGATCAAACGTATCCATTCTTAAGGAAATCAGCCCTGAGTGCTCACTGGAAGGACAGATCGTGAAGCTGAGGCTCCAATACTTTGGCCACCTCATGAGAAGAGAAGACTCCCTGGAAAAGACCCTGATGTTGGGAAAGATGGAGGGCATAAGGAGAAGCGGACGGCAGAGGATGAGATGGTTGAACAGTGTTCTCGAAGCTACCAGCATGAGTTTGACCAAACTGTGGGAGGCAGTGGAAGACAGGAGTGCCTGGCGTGCTCTGGTCCATGGGGTCACGAAGAGTCAGACACGACTAAATGACTAAACAACAACAACAACATTAACACATATATTACTACATGTGTTTCCAGGGTGACTCAAATAATAAAATAAATAAATAAAAAACATGAAAATAGTACAGTTCAGAAGAGCAGCATAAAGCAGTAGAAGGGCGTATTAGATTTTTTTTTTATGGAGATAAGTTCGTAAATGCTAATCTATTATTTGGCTGTGCCTGCCTCTTAAATACATGAATGTGATGGCATAATTTATTTATTAAAGTTTCCCCTAACCTTGACAGGATTGTATGCCATTCATTCCCCCTTTTTAGAGCTTTCTGGTGCTTATTTTTCAAGCCCAGCATTATTTTAACATTGTATACAGGGCTGAGTCAATACTAAATGTCCTGTTTTAGTTCTTTCTAGTTGTTGAAAAAGCTTGTGTTGTGTGTTTCAACAACTCTAACCAAAATGTCACTGTTTTTGTCTAAATCCTGAATACAAAGTGGTGGAACTGTGGTGGAAGCCCCAATAAATAACATCTTGGTTTGGTTAAAAATTTTGGTAATAGTGCCATTCTGGACCTAGAGCATTATGCAAAGGAGTTGGACAAAGTTATGCAAAGGTATTCACATAATTCTCACACCTAATCAATTAAAAATATGATTTTGCATACTAAAAAATTGTGATTTGGGAAATCTGAGCAAATATTGCACTTATTGCACTTATTTTAAACTGGAAAACAAAACTGGAAATCTTGATAACAATGTACTGATAAAAAGAAAAAAGAAACACCTCATTTGTGCTTCTAATTTTCATCAGTAGGTGGTGCTAGAAATTTGTGCACTGGCTATTTCAGCCACATTTCTATTATTCGGTGATGCCATTAATCTTTCTCCTAGATAAAGAAACTCACATTCATTGTGGGTATTTTTTACAGGTGTCTCAATATTCTGCACACACAAATCTACACTCCTTTTTGAATTAGATTGTTAGGTTTAAAAAAAATGAATTGGGGGCAGGACAGAATATTCTGAACTCAAATTTGAAAGAACGGCCCTTAGGGTGAATTTGGGAATGCAAATAATGTGTCTTTGCCCCTGAGAATAGGGTAATGCTATTAGCAAATGTTGGTGCTCATGTGGAATCTGAGTACTATAACCCCTTTCCAACAACCCCTCTTTTTTCACATTTACAATTACAATCAAAAAAGTTAAGGAAGGTTATCTTCCCATGTCCTTTACTTCATCAGCATACATAGAGAAATATAACAGTTCCCAAAGAACTGATTCCTACTTGAACTTGTGAATCAGCAATGTTTACAAACCCAGATGACTGCAAGGCAAGTGATGCTCTTTGGAAGGAAAAAAGAAAGAAATTCTTCCATTTCATCAGCTCATCTTTTCATTTTCATCTTAATTGGCTCATCCTTCCATTTTTCTTTTTTGTCTGCTGTGTGATCAAATGGAATAAAGGCAAGAAATATCAATTTTTACAAGACAATAAAATAAAATGGAAGTTCACCACAGTAAAGTGAAAATTTAATCTAGTGTGGATTATGATGAGCAAAGGAAGCCCAACACATTGAGGACTACAGAGACCCATGAAAATCTCATAAAATTTGAGCTGGTCCCAGTAAAATGCATGACTTGTCTTTACAAAGTCTTACTCTACCAGATTCTGTGTATAAAATGGATTTGATTGTGTAATATAATCACAACAAGCAGAGGGAATTGTACTTCAAATGGAGGTACACACATTTCTAAAAATGCTGGATGCCAGTGACTGAATGCAATGGTGGACAAAGTGCAGGCACGCTAAATTGTTCTTTACCCAGCAGATTCAAAAAGATTGGTCTAAATACAATGCTGCTTCTCTGAAATGCAACTGTAGAATAAAGGGGAGAACAGTTTAGCTAAGGATTTATAGAAAAGAGTTCTGATTACTGACATTTTGATTGGAAATAATGGCCAGAAGGCTGTAATTGAAAAGCTAATATATTTGGATTATAATTTATCACTGATGGGTTCCTCATCAGTCATACTGACAGTGCAACAATTGTCCATTAGGCATTCACTGAGCTATTTTTTTAAACCAAAGCTTGCATTCATTATATGCTTAATACTAAATATTCATTTTATCTTCTAGCTCTTTCAAATAATGAAAGTTGAAATGCATGGGTTACATCCAATGCTGGTCCACTCAGAGTAGACCCATTGAAATTAATGGACAGAACTAACTTAAGTCTATTAAGTCCAACAGGTCTACTTTGAGGAGAGCTTAGTTGCATACTATCCTATGGGTTCGTGTTCTATTTAAAAAAGTTTAAGTTTCATTGCTATAAGCATAGGCAGCTACTGTGCAGTCCATTGTAAAATATAAATATTTGGTGGTTTGTTTGTTTTTTGCATGGGAGTTATCTGAAAGGGCAACAAAGTAAAATATCTTGGGAGGACTCTCCTTTGATGGAGGTTTCTAAGCAGACATTAGATGGCCATCTGCCAGGGATGCTTTAGTTGAGATTCCTGCATTGTATGAGGTTGGACTAGATGACCCTTGGGCTCCCTTCCAACTCAACAATTCTGTGATTCCATTAGTACACAGTGTGACAAAGGTATCATAAAAAATAATGTGATCATTATAAACTGCTAGTTGAAATGATCACAACATTTGTGATCATTTCAGCTTCTGATTATGATGGTTCTCTCTGCCTTGTCTTGGTTCATTTACCTGAAATGTGTACTACAAAAGCAATTATTAATGCCATTAAACAATATTGTATTATCGTAACCATAAAGTATACTTGTTGGCATGCATATTGCCTGTTTGTTTTTCTTCAAAGAAATCCAGCAGCGATCAAGGGAACATGCAAGTTAAGGTGCAAAGTTAGACCTGAATCCTAAGAAGGTTTCCCTTTGTTTCTTATGTTGTTCAAGTAAGAATAGCATTATGACCAATTTGCAGAGCAAAATAATTGCACACTGCATTCAGATACTTGAGACACACCTGAATGGTGTCCTAATGGTATGGGAGCAGCTTTCCAGGGAGCGGTTCCCACAACCCCAAAAGGAGAACAGTCATAGTTCAGTGGCAAAGCACAAGCTCTGCATGCAAAGGATCCCAGGCTCAGTCCTTGGCATCTTCAGGTAGGCCCAAAAAAGACTCGATTTAAATCCTGTTGAGCCACTGTCATTCATAGTAGACAATACTGATCTAAATCGGTCAAAGTTCTGACTCAGTATAAGACAGCTTCCTATGTTTAAATGCCTTAGACAGTCCATAAAGTGTAATGATTTGCTAACCCTTTAAAATCCAACCTTTGAGAAAAGATTAAGGGTTTTATTGTTTATTTATTTGATTTATCAAGTATTTGATTTATTTTTTGTTTATATGGTTAAACCACCTAATTCATAAGAAAGTTATTGTGATGGTGGTGGTGGGCACTAAAAAAGTATAACCACCATTGATAAAATCATAACTAGAACCAAATGACTAACAATAAACAGGATTAATTATCTAAAACATTTGAGAAGTTAAAACGTTTTCAACAGATGACAAAACATCAGAATTGTAGGTGTCCATCTAATTTCAATAAGATCAGTGCCACTACGCTGAAACCCTTGAATCAAGTAGAAGATAAAGGAATGTGTGGCTTCTCTAGATGATCACAGTGTTCTGGTTGCTGTATAAGGCAGTCTTTCAGGTAACTTGTTCCTTTAAAGAACACAAATAATAATAGCTTGAGCTTAGCCATTGCAGTTTCCAGTAATATGCTGATGCAGAGCTGTTCCAGGGTGCAGTATTCAGCAGCATCTGTAATTTCTGAACCAGCCTCAAGGGTAGGTCCATGTAGAGCACACAACAGAAGTCCCATCTAGAGGTTACTAAGGCCTGCAACACTATGGCCAAACTCTCCCTGCCCAGAAACAGCCATAGCTGGATTACCAGCCAATGCTGGAAGGAAGCATTTCTGACCACTGAGGAAACGTCTACCTCCCAAGCTATGTACACTCTCCTTCGGGAAGGGAGCAACCCCATTAAGAACAGGCAACTGGTCTATTTCCCGAACCTGGGAGTCCCTCACCCACAAGGCTTCTGCCTTTCATCTTCATTTTATGATTGCTACTTCCTCATGTGTTTTTTCTTAATAACTTAAAAAATACCTGAGTGTAATTTTGAAAAACATAGTGTTGTGCATTTATACGTGCATCATTTGTTTTGTGAATTGTTGGGTGTTGACAAATGTCATGAGTTAAACTCCCACTCATTCCAAGAAAGACTCCTATATTTAGATAAAAAGTACACTTTCATGGCTGGTTGTGATCAAGGGCACAATCTGAAAATACATTCAAGTTACTGAAAGGATTTGAATTTAACTGTGATCATTTCTGTGTAAGGCCCAATTTAAAAAGTCTCCTGGTCTTGTTTTGCAGATCAATACGGACACCTATTACAAGATACCTGTTTGGATTTTAACACACTCAAGCATCACCTCCACTGATATTTTAACAACCCCATCAAGCTTTGGTTGGGTAGTCAACAGCCGCAAAGCTGCTGTCCACGTGGACTGGTGCTGACATTTCTCGTCCAGCTGCGAGAGCCTCTCCATCTAAACCTAGAGACATGGCAACAAATGGAACAAAAGTAGCTGACGGACAAATCTCCACAGAACTCAGCGATGCCTCAATCACCAATGACAAGCCTAAGACACTGGTGGTCAAGGTGCAGAAGAAAAAAGGAGATATTCCAGACAGAGACACCTGGAAGGGGAAATTTGACTTTCTTATGTCCTGTGTTGGCTATGCGATTGGCTTAGGAAATGTTTGGCGGTTTCCATACCTTTGTGGAAAAAATGGAGGAGGTACTTATTTCAGTTTATGTAATTAAGTGCTAAATATTTTTGATCAGAATCCACTACTTCCTGTTAATCTTACAAGACCAGCAGCAGAGAAGGGAGAGCAGGCTGAAGTTCTTAACACAGGTCTTTCAAACTGCATGTTAATGCTTTTTGGAAAGGCACGCTAAACAGATTTTACTACTTGCACACTGGATTCCTTGGCTATGATAGGCAATCACTTCAGTGGAGGATGACAATTGATGTATTTTGAGTTCCCATCTGGTTGGTTTGGAAGGCAGCAGAACACTTTCCCTATTATCCATTTGGAGGAGAGCAAAGAGGCTCACAGGGACTGCTCTGCTTATTCTTTGCCTCGTCCCATTCAGAGTGCCACCATGATATACTATTATATTTGGCGGCAGCCACAGCAGCTAGGTTTTAGAAAAAGGATTTGCCTTGTGTACTATGAGAACATCTGGTTTTGCCTTTAACAGGAAAGCAGTCTCTTTCAGACTAAGTATGGCACCAAAAAGCCAAGTTCTGCAGCCAGGTCAAGGTTATGTCAGGATGCTCAGTAGCAAGAGTAGCTCATTCTTGCTGTGACACAAAGCAAGACCCTCCTGGTGGTATTAACTGCTGGTGAAGACTGTCTGCTCCTATCAAAAACAATGAGGCAGAAACTCATCTGCAAGCATTCTTTGTAACATGTGACTCAGCTCACACTGCAAAACAGCAAAGCATATCCCTAACCATACATACGATTAGGGCAATAGTATCAGAGGAGACCTAGAGCAACTAGGTTACAAATAGTGTTCATTTGCTTTCTGCTGCATTTAAAGGAAAAATGAATGTTGAATTCTTGCTTAATGATACATATGTTGGCTTTCAGTATAATTGCTCATTTTTTGTATCCTTTCAGGAGCTTTCCTGATTCCATATTTCCTTACTTTAATTTTTGCTGGAGTTCCCCTGTTTCTTTTGGAATGTTCACTTGGGCAATACACATCCATAGGAGGTCTTGGAGTTTGGAAGCTTGCTCCAATGTTCAAAGGTACAGTGTTGAGTTAAATACATTGCTATCAATACCATAGTAGGTGTTAAGATTCAGGTCATTCTTTGATCAATTTAATACTGGCCCACTTTTTCTAGACTAAGAATGCAAAGTTATTTAAGTATATTAAAAGATGCACCAAACCAATAAATATTTATTGCAAAAGAAATAATAAAATGATGTTTACATAACTCTGAAATTGCACTTTTACAACAAGCCAGTGTAAACTCTGTCTATATGAGAAAGATAGACAGAATAACCAGGTAATTCTGGAATTTAATCCCAGGCATCTCCACCCTTTATCCTATTTTTCTTTCCATACACATCTCTTGACTATGGCCAGTGTTGCAATGTATTATCCTCAGTCTCAATTTCTCAGTATATTGTTTTCCAGCTGTAGGCTGGCTAAACATTCAGAACCCTTATTTCATTTGGCAACAGAACACTGCTTTCTAAAGATGCACTCTCTTTCCTTTGCCCAACAACCCTAATTTGCTTGCTTGTAGTGCACATAGTGACATTTCTTGTGAGATCTCTTCCCCCTTCACGTGGTTGCTCCCTGCCCATAGCAAAAGGGTTGTCTGACTTTGTAGAAACATAAACTGAAAGTGTAGTTTTTTTGTGCTACTCTTCAACCCTCATTAAGAAGACTGGTACCTCAAACTGCAGTTCACATAACCACTACTTTCTCATAACCGTTTTCATCTTAGTATAAGTGCGCAAAAACACATAGCAATTTTGTCTTATTTAGGTTTACATCCCTCCAAATGTACTTATTATTGTTATATTCTGAAATTCTACTGCTAAGAATATGAGTCCTAAAATGCTCTGATATGCTTTTCTCCCTATAGGTGTGGGATTAGCTGCTGCTGTCCTGTCCTTCTGGCTTAATATTTACTACATTGTGATTATTTCCTGGGCCATATATTACTTATACAACTCTTTCACCACAGTAAGTGATCTTTCTTCTCATGTTTAAAAAACCCTCATTACAGCTCAGCTTGATTAGCTGACCTACTTTAAAATAATAATAATAATAAATATCATTTTATTTATTTACATAGGGAAGTTTTGCCCCCCTGCTCACTCCTCTCACCAATCCCTCACCAACTTCTTCACAAGTTACTTTACTTGCTGAATTGTCTACCTAATGGACAAATCATTTCAGCTTCTCCTTTCTGTTGCATAGGGAAATGATTTAAATTGGATGAACTTGAAAACTGGAGAACAACGGTTGTGTATGGACATAGATTAGGACCTAATAGTGTTGCTAGGAAGTCATGCTGGTTCCTTGACCACTCAAAGTTCCACTCATAGCATTTTGAGATTCTGTTATTCCAACAGGTATTACAATGTTTTGGTCCATAAAACACATCATGGCAACATGCTGGCCTAATATATAGCTTTAATTTCCAGAGGCAGCCAGAAGTTCATATAGCAATGGCCTTCCTCTATTCCACAGGTCCATATATTTATTTTTAACTATTTCTTTACTGTCTCTCACATCAACCTTGAGGTGGAATACAGCTATTTCAAAACTTTAGGGCATGTTCACGTATAACCAACCACACCACCCTGCCTACCGAATGATGGTGGCAAAGAAAGCTTACTTCTCCACTACCATCACATCTGCAAGTAGTCACCGAAAAGAGTTTTTTCAAGTGGTGAATGGTGTTGTGTTTTTGTGTGTGTGTGTATTTTGCTTAATCTGGACAAGTTTCTTGAAGAACTGCCCCCTTGACTCTTGCACATCTTATCTTCTTAGAGCGAGCCATAGAAGGTTAATTAGGTGGGCCTAGGGAGTGATTAATGCTTTACTGAAAGAGGCATTGGTTGGTTCCCTCCTTAAGAAGACCTCCCTGCACCCAGGGACCATACCCTTGATATGCTTGAGAAGGTAGTGGTGGTCCAACTTCAGGCATGCTAGGAGGAAACCGATTCCTTGGATCCATTCCAATCTGGCCTCAGGCCTGACCATGGCACTATAACTGCCTCGGTTGCCCTAGTTGATCACATTTTTGGAGAGAAAGATAGAGGGTGTGTGACTCTGCTGATTCTCAATCTTTTAGCAGCTTTTGATACTGTTGGCCACAGTATCACTCTGGAGCATCTCAGGGAGGTTGGGGGCACTGTACTTCAGTGGTTCCACTCCTACCCCCAGGACCATTTCCAGAAAGCCATTATGAGAGGCTACTATTTGGTGTCTTGGAAGTTTTTTGTGGTTTCCCACAGGGTCCCATCTTGTCTCCCATGTTATTTAAAGTCTACATGAAGTCTCTGGGAGTTGTCATCAGGAGATTTGGAGTGAAGTGTCCTTAATGTGTAGATGACACCCAGCACTATCTCTTTGTTCCAACTGAATCAGGAGAGACAGTTGAGATGTTAAACCTGTGCTTGGAGACAGTGACGGGCTGGATGTGAGCCAATAAATTGAAGCTGAATTCAGAAAATACAGAGCTGTTATGCATCCTGAGTTCTCACATCCAGGAGTTGGGAAGGACAGCCTGTTCTGGATGGGTTGCACTTCCATGGAAGGAGCAGGTCCACAGTTTAAGGGTTCTTCTGAATTCTGCTTGTCAATGGAGGCTCAACTGGCCTAAGAGGCTAGGAGTGCCTTTTTCCAGCTCTGGCTTGAACAGAGATGATTTGGCTATGATATTCCAGGTTCTGGTAATTTTCAGACTGGATTATTACAAGGAACTCTATATGCGACTGCCTTTGAAGATGACTTGGAAACTTCAATTGGTCCAGAAATGCAGCAGCCAGATGGCTGGCTGGGGTTCCATTTAGATTTCACACAACCCATGTTTTAAAACAGCTGCATAAGTCCAGTACAGCCATAGCCCAGTTGCATGGGCAGCAGGAATGGATGTGTCGGTCTTGTTCTGGTTAATTTGTCTTTTGCATGTGTTCACCAATACATGTATTCTATCCAGTATCTGTGTGCATTTCCCCCTGCACAGATTTAATATTTTAACAATAAAAAGTGCCTCAAGTGCTGGCTTTAACACATTTTCTCCCTCTTTCTTTTTTAAACAGGTACTAGCTGTCTGCAGCAGCTAGAAAGCACAGCTGCTGTCATACCCATTGAAAATTTGGCCAGAGCTGTCCCTAGGATTGACAGCACGTGATTGATGGCTTCCTCCATGGGTTCATAGGGGCAGCCATACATTTTTCACATGAAGTCCCTGGAATGGATGACACATAATCACATCCTGTCAGCCCAAGGGGCTTTTCTGACCCCCATCTTCAATGCAAGTGGTGTGAGTTGTGCTTTCTAGAGGCTCCAGGTGGCTAGCAGGCTAGCACCTTCTGTTATAAAGTGTGTTAAAGTCAGGCCTCAATCAACCTCACACAAATTGGTTGTGGTGCAGAATTCCTACAGAGACCTGCAATCTGATTGTTTCAGGATGCGCTTGCCTAGGAATTCATAACCAACACATTTCTAATGGACCCATAAAGTGGTAGAGCTCTTTTTGGCAGCCTCCACCAGAATAACGTACAAAATGGGTCTGAGAGAAAAGGCTAGTAGGAAAAGAAACACTCAACTCAAGTTAAATTTTTGTTTCAGCTTTAAAAAAGAAAAAGAAAGCATGTTTAGTTCTTCCTAATTGTGAAGAGTAAATCAGAAATGCTGGAAAAAGATTAGATCAGTGCCACTCTTCATGTCCAATAATGTACTGTGTGTCTTCAGAAGTATGCATATATAATAATGTAAGTCAAGAACATTTAAGAGACAAAAGTTACAACAGAATATAATTCTTGACAGGCATGAGCCCTGTGGAAGCTTAATGCCCTGAAAGATTGAAACCAGCTTAGTGTTAACATTGGCTATCATTTCTAAGCAAGCATGGTATACTAGCTGTTAGTTCTTAAGATGACTTTAAAAACACTGATGTTTTTATTCTTCTCTCCCCATTCTTTATCCTTGCTTTTTTAATTAGAATCTTCCATGGAGACACTGTAACAACCCCTGGAACACAGACCACTGTTTCTCAAATTATAGTATAGCAAATACCACCAACATGACAAGTGCTGTTTTGGAATTCTGGGAGTAAGTTGAGAAAAATATTTTCCTCATGAATATGTTCAGTTAATTTCTTACTAGATGTATAAGGTCAGCTAAGTTCAAGAAATTTATACATTTCCTCTTTGATTTTAGACGTAACATGCACCAAATGACAGATGGATTGGAAAAACCAGGCCAGATCCGTTGGCCATTAGCAATTACTCTAGCAATTGCCTGGATTTTAGTGTATTTCTGCATCTGGAAGGGGGTAGGCTGGACAGGAAAGGTAAGAATGTGTTCTAAAAGCCTGTACATTGTATGTGAGTCAGCATAGAATTCTAAAGCTTCAAAATAGACTAGTCTTGCTGATACATCCTTCCATGAGATATGAATGTTAATGCCCTTTTTTAAACTCTTTGGATACCCCTGTAAATTACTAGAGGGATAGTGGTGCTAGTCTATTGCAGCAAAAAACATAAAGACTCTTCCAACACCATTAATATTAACAAATTTTATTATGGCACAAACTTTCATAAACTTGGATAAAACATGCAAGCTTTAAATGCGCCACAAGATTATTGTTTTCTGCTGTAAATTGTATTTCAAGCATGCATATATATATTCCATTACTGTACAAATTGAACTTTTAAGTTTTTAAAAGTGAGTAGTAATTAAAGGTAAAGGACCCCTGGACGGTTAAGCCCAGTCAAAGGTGACTACAGGGTTGTGGCGCTCATGTTGCTTTCAGGCCGAGGGAGCCAGTGTTTGTCCACAGACAGCTTTCTGGGTCATGTGGCCAGCATGACTAAAACGCTTCTGGTGCAACGGAACACCGTGACGTAAGCCAGAGCACACGGAAACACGGTTTACCTTCCCGCCAACCTAGCAGTTCGAAAGCACGCCGGTGCAAGTAGAGAAATAGGTACTGCTGTGGCGGGAAAAGTGAGTAAGAGCAGACTTACTTAACTATGAAAGGCGGAGGGTGGCAATCCGTACAAGAGAACCAAGCATGGGCATGTCTAGCAAGGAGGGGATTCTGTAGCCCTGTGCTTAACATGCAATAAGAAACAGCAGAGTACTGTTGCATCTGTCTCAGATGGGGGGCAGTGGAAACTTTTTCAGTTTGAGGGCCACATTTCCTTCTTAGTAACCTTTTTTGGGGGTCGCCACATGCTAATCGTGGGTGAGGCCAGAGGCAAAAGTAGGCAGAGCAACTAATATGAACTTTACCGTCTCTCAGTAAGCTGGTTTCTACACACACTGTTGCACATCTCCTCTGTCCTCCATCCAGGCAAGCAGTAAGTATTGCAGCCAGGCAAAAACACTTAAGGAGGGTGCAAAGCAGGGCTTACAAGAGGAGTGGCTGGGATGGGGTGTGTGGCCTAGGAAGAGTCATGAGGGCCTAGTATGAAAGTCTGAAGGATGGCACTTGGTCCCTAGGCCTGAACTTCCCATCCCTAGTCTTAGATTCAGATGTGTATAGCATCACCAAATTTATTTCCCCTGTATTTCTTAAACCTCAGTGTTAAACTCATTGCTTCTAACGCTACGCACCCCATTCTTTGTTTCAGGTAGTGTACTTCTCTGCCACGTATCCATACATCATGTTGATTATCTTGTTCTTCCGTGGAGTAACATTACCTGGAGCAAGAGAAGGCATTTTATTCTATGTAACTCCTAAGTTTGAGAAGCTCTCTGACTCTGAGGTAAGCATTCAGGCCTGGTAACCTAATAATCCTATGGGAAGAAGTTCAAGTGATGCACTCTTCTGATCATTCTGTTGTAGCCAGTGTTTCTGCATGCCACATTAAATGAAACCCCTTCTGCTCTCCCCCCCCCCATGTGGTGTTCTGGGGTTTCTCCTGTCCCACCAGAGCCTGTCCCACCAGGCATGTTGCACTAGCAGGAGCCCTTGTACTGATTTCTGGGCCATTTGCAGTAGTATTGCTCATACTGTCATTGCACGCTCATTATTTATTATCACCTGTTTGTAACTATATATAAACTACCAATCATAGCCATGTGGACCTGTCTTTGTCCTTTATGACTAGGTATGGCTGGATGCTGCCACACAGATCTTTTTCTCCTATGGGCTGGGTCTTGGCTCATTGATTGCTCTTGGAAGTTACAACCCTTTCAACAACAATGTTTACAGGTAAAGCAGTTACCATTCTTTAGTAGCCTAGATTCCTAGATAATGCAGATAGGGGATATTTGATACAATTCACAGGGCACAAACATAATCCCTCAGAAACTGAAAGGGAACGATTCTCTCCTGCTGCACACAGAGCACATGGTGTTTCCAGATTCCTCCCATACTGGAGGAGCAGCTGTATTGCTCCCTATTGTTCATGAGATGCAAAGTGGGCAACATCATTCCTTCTAATACTTTATTTGGATGTTTTGGTCCCTATCTGTTTTGGCAGCAAAATGGAGCCACTCAAAAGTATTAGTAGTGGTTTCTACATTTTACAAAAAGGTTCTCAGCCAGGACCTACATTCATTGTGGCCTCCACCAAGATCTATGCTTCATTTGGTTAGAGAGGAATATGAAGAAATATCTTATTGAGACCCTATATTGATCTGCTTCCAACTCTCAGCATTTATATGAGAGGATGACTAAACTATGTAACAATAAAGCAATTCAGATGGATCTGGCAACTTTCAGCATTATATAGCATAGCAGGGAGAGATTTCAGGTGAATAAGATAGATTTAAAGTATCTCTTTTCCTTTTTCCCCTCATCCTGACATCTTCCCTTCTTTCTGTGAGTCCTGAACAGCCCTATAAGAATTGCTCGAACTCTGAACAGGAGCACTTTTGTTAGGTGCTTCAACATATTGCTGCAGAGCCCCACTTTTAATGTCAGAATATCAAACTTCCCCTCTTTGCAGGCTCTTGGGGACTGGGACATCTAGGGCAGTAAGGCTACCTTTGCATGTCCCAATATTCCTGAGCAAAATTCATTCAGCCAGCTCATATCAGTGTAATGTGAATTAGTACTTTCCCCTGCAAAACAAAGACAGTCCTTAATAAGAGACAGACCAATGAAAGGCTTCTTTGTCAAATGAAGAAACTAGCTAGAGTTCACTGATAATTTTTGTATTTAAAAAGTTAATCCTACATATACAGAGTTATAATACAGTATCATAAGCCTTAAACAATTTGCCCTGACAACAGGAATGTTGCTTGAAATCCTGACTTTGGACAGTTTTACTACCCTCTTCTCTCTCTGTCTCTTTTTTCAGGGATTCCATCATAGTGTGCTGCATAAATTCTTGCACAAGCATGTTTGCTGGTTTTGTTATCTTCTCCATTGTTGGATTCATGGCTCATGTCACCAAACGTCCTATTGAAGAAGTTGCAAAATCAGGTGTGCAACATCTTAACAGTTTGCAGTGTCTTTTTGTTTCAGAAGATAGCAGGGAAGACAAGTTACACTATAATTGGGGAATCTGCACTTGAGAGAATACCCCCCCCCAAAGTTCATTAGTCCTAATGGTTGTCTAGGAAAATAGAGCGGCATTCACTTGCATAAACAAGGCACTAATACGCTTGTGAGATCGTTAGCCATTACCCCAAAGTAATCTGAGAAGTGTCTGCAAGCCTAGTGGCCAACACACCTCATGCCAAGGGTTCAAAAATCAATGTAGACATGCATAAACAAGTAACTACCAGCACAGTTACTTGTTGGAAATACATAGCAGCTTCATATGTTTATACGAGATAACTTCATAATGCTTTTAGAGTGCAGAAGCTATTGTGTATATAGAAAAATATATTGTAATTGTTTTTCACAAAAATATAGTTGTTTCTATATCCATAGATATATAGAGATATACATTCATGTGCATATTTAAACCTACACTTTCTAATCTCCATTTCGTATCTGTCTCAGTTTTTCCAGCTTTGTTATTATACAGTAGTATGAAATGAGATATTAGTAGTAAAATGCCTAAATTAGTTTATAATTAATAAATTGAGCTGCTAGATATTGCGTTAATGGTAAGTGACAATAAATACATTTCCCCCATTACCAGGTCCTGGGCTTGCATTTTTAGCCTATCCAGAAGCAGTAACACAACTTCCTGTCTCACCTTTGTGGGCAATACTGTTCTTCTCCATGTTGCTTATGCTTGGAATTGACAGTCAGGTAAAACGAAGTGTTATTGTTGTTTTTAAAAACGCTATTACTGAAGACAAATGTCCAACAGTTCATTATATGTTTCTATCAATGCTAGCTGTATCTCTGTATCAATCTTCACTGATACCAGCCAACTTCACGAACCACAGTTCAAAGCTGGCTTGTTTCTCTCAAAAAAAAAAAAAAAGTACCTGTAATTAAGACCAGCCCATTTCTTGAGTTTCAAGCATAATACTGAACAAGTTAGTTTAAAAAGGAAGTAAAGACTCCTGATCTCCTGGTTGTAGATGCAGAGGAGAAAAGGGAGGAGAGCACACAGGTCCATGACTCATTATGTCAGAATGAGGTCTATGGCTGAACTGGGCCATTAACACTAGTGAACAGTTTCTGTAATGGGTGACTATTTAAATTTGTATGCCATCTTTTGTCCAGTGATTCTAGGGTAGTTTACAGACAATAAAACAATACAAAAGAACCCAACTAATAAAACAGTAGATTGCAGAACTTTAACAAGTATTTAAATAAGCAAAATGTTAAACAATATACCTAGAATTTTTAAAAAGTTTGCCTGGTTTCAAAAGCATTACATCAAAGAAGTTTCTTTGGAGAAGGCTTACCAGAGATGGGACACCACAGCCAATTAAATTTTTCTTTAAAATATGTCTGTGCACTGTGGCTTAGAATATGGAATCCCATAAAGTGAGCCTCCCCATTTTCTTGGTTCCTATAAGTGGTTCCCTTGGTTCATGAAAGCAGCAGCCTTTGCTGATATTTTTCTCAGTCACTGAGAGCAGGACTGAAGGTTCTCCACGCCTTGTGTCAAAGGAGAATTGGCAGAAGCATGCTAAACTATGCATTAAAAATGCCTCGTAAAACTTTTTCCTATAATGTTTAATTCTAACTTTTGTGAATTTGTGAGTTTGTGTGTGTGTGTGTACAACTCACTTTCAATACAATTTAGGCCCCCAAACAATTGTGCCTATTTTCTTAAACTAAGCAGCCAATTATTATCCTGTCTCATGAGATGATGCCTTTATAGTAGCATAAATTTCCTCACTCTGACTACTTTCAGGATATTGATCTTGCCAAACTTTGTGAAGGTTTGACCCCCATGTCCCCCATTTACTGTTTCCTCAGAGGACACATTCCTGGTTTGGCTACATCCCTTGAGTGCCCTGGGTTCTCTCCCCCAATGTCCTATGCAAGAAGGGAAGGTACTCACCACATCATCAGCATCAGTTCCATTGGTCTACAGAGTCCTCACTCCTCCCTATTAGTAGTTCAGGTACTGGGCCCATTACATGGATGTTCCCTCAAGCCAGGCTATTATTGACATCAGCAGAGGCAGCTTCTTTACTAGTGGAAGCTCAGCTACCATCTTCGGGTCCACGACCAAGTGTTTCCACTTCTCCAGTTCACTCTGGAATAAGCTTTTGGAGGGGATGCCAGCGTGTTGTCAGGATGTCCGTGTGCCAGCGCCAGTGACAGACCACTTTACTTCTGCCTGGGCAATTCCCAAAATGGAGCCCCCGTGCCCTATTGCTACAGCTCCCAACAAACAAGATCTCCACGCTTTTATAGAGTAAATGTTAAAATAATTTAGAGTGCCATTTTGTTTACACAAGGCTGACATGAAGACCTTTATTAGCATTGAACCAATGAAGCCGGAGCTGTTGCATTTTGAATGGGGGAGGCCCAATTTCATTTAACGGACAGTTCAGCCATGAAATTCAATGGGTGGCCTTAGAGCTAACCTGCATCACTGGGGCAGAATATAAAATATAGAAGTGTAAATCCCCTTTACTCACCAATTCACCAAACAAGGTAAAGGTAAAGGGACCCCTGACCATTAGGTCCAGTCGTGCACAACTCTGGGGTTGCGGCGCTCATCTTGCTTTATTGGCCGAGGGAGCCGGCGTACAGCTTCCGGGTCATGTGGCCAGCATGACTAAGCCGCTTCTGGCAAACCAGAGCAGCACACGGAAACGCTGTTTACCTTCCCGCTGGAGCGGTACCTATTTATCTACTTGCACTTTGACGTGCTTTCGAACTGCTAGGTTGGGAGAAGCAGGGACTGAGCAACGGGAGTTCACCCCATCACGGGGATTCGAATCACTGAACTTCTGATCGGCAAGCCCTAGGCTCTGTGGTTTAACCCACAGTGCCACCCGTGTAAACAAACACAGTGGAATGTATGTACATACATGTCAACAAACCTTATTTTTCATAGTGCACCTTACTTTAACTTTTGTTGATAGTTCATACACAGTACATTAGCAACAGCAATAGCTATTTCATAATGGGATGGAAATAATGAAGAGTCCTTATTCATGAAGCCTAAAGTTCTTTTATAAAAGAAAATCAGCAAAATTAATAATTCATTTTGAAGAAACTGCTGTTAATTTAATTGAGTCAAACATATCCTTAACTAAGTTTAGCTTTAGGCTACCGAAATATAAAAAGTAGCCTAATATTCCCCCCACCCCAAAAAAACCTAGGCCTGTGTGTAAGAGCTTTCGGGCTTTCTTATTTTATTTTTCTTTAACTTCTTCAACTTCTTCATCTGTAGTATAATATGAAATAGTTCCACTCTACTGTCACAACACAGATACCACCAAAAATGGCTCCTTGTCTCATATTATCCTTAGTCAATCTATAGTATGTTAAAACATTTACCATTGTGTCTTAACACACTTCCCAGTGGCTGTCAGAAATGTACACACTCATAGCTTGAGGGGAGAATGTCATGTGCTTAGTAGTTCTTTTGGCAGGGCAGCAAAAGTAATATTTGATTATTGAAAAAAAAATGTTTACTATGGCCCTAAGAAGAAACTTATATGTCACTTTAAGCATGTACAGGAGCTCTGCATGTGCATCAAAATGCACAAAGGGATCTAAGTCAGTTTGACTATCTATTATGTTTCTAAACTGAGGTCTAGACTCTCAGCAGGAACAAGTTAGCTTAATTATTAGTCCAGACAACCTGTCCCACAGATTTTAAAAAGCGTGAGTTTCCTATTTTTAATTTCAGGTATATTTTAATAGATTCAGAAATGTTGCCCTATAAATAATCCACCTGTGCTTTAACATGATTGCAGAAGCTGCACCACAACTCATGAAATGAGTCACCATTAGTCTGATCAAAGTATATCAGAACTGGGCATATCGGTTTGCCCTGTTCCAGATGTATCTTGACTATTGATCTGCATCACAACATAATAGTTTGGGAGAAGAGAAATTGGAGAAGAGATAGGATAAAGCTGGATGTTGCTTTAGCTCAATCTAATGTTGCTGGTTTGGTTTGTGTGTAACCTCTCATTCCACTTTCAGTTCTGTACTGTTGAAGGATTCATAACAGCACTAGTGGATGAATTTCCAAGACTGTTACGCAGTCGGAGAGAAATTTTTATTGCTGGTGTGTGTGTCGTTTCCTATCTGATAGGACTGTCGAATATTACTCAGGTAAATACTATATTGGGAACTTCTTATCTCTAATTTGCTGTGGTCACATTTTCTACTAAACAGAATTATGAAGTAAGAGTCCTCTGTGGATTGCCTATTAATTTAAGAAGGTGGGGAGACAGGAGAGATTCAGCTTTTCCTAAACCTTCAAATGTCAATATCCTCTAAGGATTTGAGATTAGTATAATGCATATATAATATATAATACCTATATTTACTGGCATGTTGTCAGGCTTAATGCTACTCTTAAAATCTACAGCTTGTTCTATTAAATTGATTTACAACCACTGAGATTCCATCTGTTTTGGCAACTCTTAGATACCCTTGGATAGGAAAAACACATAAAGGCTTGGTTATCATCAGCCAATGACATTGCTGCATTCAGGAACAATATTTTATATAGTATGGAATGTAAATAATGCCAAAAGCCATGGCAACATTGAAAATCAATACACAAATGGTATATTTAAGGAATCTTTCTTTGTACAAGAGCAAGACATCGATGTATTTATTATTCCTTCCCTATCTAATTGTGTGTCTGCTTTGAATTACAAAATTGTAGAATTGCAACTAACCCAACCCCCTGCAATTCAGGAATCTCAATTAAAGCATCCCTGAGAGTTGGTCACCCAACCTCTGCTTAAAAACCTCCAAGGAAGGAGAGTCTACCACCTTACAAGGGAGTTCATTCCACTGTTGAACAGCTCTTACCATCAGAATATTCTTCCTGATGCTGAGTTGGAATCTCCTTTCTTGCAACTTGTCTCCATTGGTTCAGGTCCTACCCTCTGGAGCTGGAGAACAAAAGCTTGCTTCATCTTCCATGTGACAGAACCCCTAGCTCAACTATTTACTCTTATCAATAAATATGGAATTATCCCTATACCACCCTTCATCTGCGGATCACAGGGCAGTTTACAAAATAAAAATATTACACACAAAATTTATTGATACTGATACGTAGCAATTCACTGATTATTTGCAGTTGTATGGTCCAAAGGTCACAGTTATCCAGGGTAAGTGATCAATGAATACTTATAAACCTAGAGAATCTCTCCAAGTAATAAAAACAGAATTGAAATAGGAAAGTAAAGGTAATATAGAGGTTAAACAAAACAGGAAAGGAAATCTCAGAAGTGTGATGAACTTAACACATTTTATATATTGCAGGGTGGACTATATGTGTTCAAGCTTTTCGACTATTATTCTGCAAGTGGAATGAGTCTCTTGTTTCTTGTGTTCTTTGAGTGTATCTCCATATCCTGGTGCTATGGTATGTGATGCTATAGTATTTTGAAATTTATGAAAATAAGCCAAAAGAATGTAATTTTTTTGTAAAGCAGTCCCCAGATGAAATGAAGTAATCATTTAAAATGTTATGTGTACTTAAAACTGAAATTGTTTTCTATAATTGCCACATTTATCTTAACAAAATAATGCCATACCTAGAGGTAATTTGAGGCCATCTGAACTGTTTAAGTGAGGGAGATGTGCCATCTCACTGTATGTACCGTATTTTTCGGCCCATAGGACGCACTTTTCCCCCTCCAAAAATGAAGGGGAAATGTGTGTGCATCCTATGGGGCGAATGCAGGCTTTTGCTGAAGCCTGGAGACTAAGAGGGGTCGGTGCGCACCGATGCCTCTAGCTCTCCAGGCTTCAGGAAGCTATCCGCAAGCCTTGCAAGCCCGGCGGGACCTCCCACCGGGCGTGCGAGGCTTGGGGCGGCAGCCTGCAGCCCGAAGCACGGGGAGCCCTCTGGAGGGCGCCCCGTGCTTCAGGCGGGTGTCCGCAAGCCATGTGCGCCCAGCGGGCAGGTGTGCGCAAGGCTTGGGGCTGCAGCCGCGGCTGGGGGGGGAAATAATTTTTTTTTATTCATTCCCCCCCCAAAAAAACGAGGTGCGTCCTATGGGCCGGTGCGCCCTATAGGACGAAAAATACGGTATATTGTACTTAGGAGGGAGGAGAGAATTGGGGGTGTTTGATAGCATGCTAACATTTTCAACTGGAATTTAAGCATTTTTGGAAAAAGTAAGTAAGAACTGTAAGAACTCTAGCGCTCGTCAAAGTACTACCATTCATATACGGTGCTATGGAAGAACTGTTCCTTGATTTGTTTTGTTTTAAACGTTTTATGAGCACTGCATTGCTTATGAAAAGCGGTATTACTTTATAAATGTACAAATTATTAAATCCTTGAAAACTTTTAAAGTATCAACAAAATGATGGCTTGTCATTTGTGATGTTACTGGCACTATCCAGTAGGTGCTTAAAATATCAATGTAAGCACATTCCACATGGTATTTCCAATCTCCATTGATGTGCTAGCTGGCAGAAGGCTTTAGAAAATATTTCCGTCACATAAAGCAGTCAGGAAATTTCCATGCCTAGAAAGGGTATAAGGATTGGAAAAAGACCAAGAAAGTGAAGTCATATGCACAAAACGTTTAGTGAATGTTAGATTCTCATTTTACCATTATTTTGAGGATCAGAAAGGTTTCACCTATGGGGGGGAGGAGGAATAAGTTTCTATCCAGGAAGCTAACAGAATTTGAAGATGCAATCAAACTATCAAAGAAAAATACATTTTCCAGATTATAAATAACAGCATAATACCTATATATTTAGGATGAACTAGAACCATGGTTGCAGTCCTGTACATGAAACACTTAAATCCTATTGATGCAGCTTAGCTGTGCACACAAATTGCAACCCAAATAATAATAATATTATGCTACAAAGAGGCAATAAATTAGTCAAGATTCTGTGGGATGCCCCTCAGATCCAGAGTTCCTATACACACGTATTGCAGCTCCCTAACTTAATGCTTTCAAATGAGCTTTTTCACACCAACCCTATAAGACCTTAATAAATCTCTTACATCTTAATGACTCTTTTGTTGACTTCTCTGATTTATTCTCTTCTTTGTTGAAGCATCTTACTGTAGATTATCGATTATATTCACATTCACATGCTAGAATCTAGGCTTTTCCCTTAGGGGATTGGCGTTTTCCTTCCTCTGTGCATTGTTTCTGCACAAGGTATGCAAATCTGTTAACAGTTCCTACTGCTAATGGTCCTGTTCCTGGGAAGTTACATTTTCCCTGCACTCAACCCATAATGTTGAATCATGGGGGAAAGAGCTTTCTCATGACACATGTGCCCCTTGTAACCAGAACTAATGATGTATTGGCTGTTGTTTGGATTGCTGTTCATTTCCTCCCTTCCCCGTAGGCTGTAGGCTCCATTTTTCCAGTGCTAAAACCTCCCCCACTCGGGTCTGATTATTTCCCTGCAGCTAGGCTAGTCCCTGGCTTTAAGGCCTTTTTGGAGCCACCAGTTCTGTAGAACCACCAACACTGGATTGTTAATGGGTTTGGTAGGTTATCTGGCAAGACTCTGGCAAGACTTTGGTAGGTTATCTGGCAAGAGAGCCAGTGTGGTGTAGTGGTTAAAAGCGGTAGTCTCGTAATCTGGGGAACCGGGTTCGCGTCTCCGCTCCTCCACATGCAGCTGCTGGGTGACCTTGGGCCAGTCACACTTCTTTGAAGTCTCTCAGCCCCACTCACCTCACAGAGTGTTTGTTGTGGGGGAGGAAGGGAAAGGAGAATGTTAGCCACTTTGAGACTCCTTAAAGGGAGTGAAAGGCGGGATATCAAATCCAAACTCTTCTTCTGATATATTTCAAACCTTTTCTCTCTCCTAGCCATTCATTATTGGTTTCAACCAACTAACAATTTGTTTGTTTGTTTATTTAGGTGTAAACAGATTTTACGACAATATCCAGGAGATGGTTGGCTATAGGCCCTGCATCTGGTGGAAGCTCTGCTGGTCTTTCTTTACTCCAATCATTGTGGCAGTAAGAAACAAAAATGTTAAAGATGTTAAATGCAATTAATGCAAGTCTACATTTTTTTTTTAAAGTTCAAATGAGCACAAATAATCAAGAATGCACAGTGATAAGGATGTCCAGTAAGGCTCTAAAATGCTGCAACAACACTTGGCCGTTTGATCATGCACACACACATTTGTGCTTTATTTTGATATAACAACGTACAATAATTTATATAACTTACAATTCAAGCATAATATTCACAAAACTTTTTAAAAGATGTAAGCTGTGTTTAAAAAATGTAAGCTGTGTTTTTTTCTGTTCTCTAAATACTTTGGTCTACTTCCATGCCTTCTGGAGAAATAGCAACTAAAATAATTTTAATTAAAGTATACTTAATGAAATTCTAATCTTCCAATAGTTAATGGAAGGACCATAACAACTGCCGACTCGCCCCAAGACACATTATTTTAGAGAATCCAGTGTTTATTTTTAGTGCACAGGTGATGATAATCTAATATAAAAGCTGCCATCTTCTATTTTCTTCTTTCCAAAAACTTTCTACTTTTGTCTTTTTTAGCTGATTCCACTAGCAAAAATAGCTTTGGGCTATTTCTAGCAAAGGGCTAGAGCAATGGTCATAGTGGTGAATGCACATATCATTTTATGATACTGAGAAGCAAAAAGAAAACCACGTAAAGCAGGCTCAAAACTCAGTATATATTGTTTTATTCTGTACATGAAAAATAAAATGTTTGAAAGGAGAAGCAACAAGAGAAAATTAAAAATCTATGAAACTGTATGATTTCAAAATTTATAAATATATATGGTTCAAAATATCCTTTTGTATATCAAAATGCATGTCACACTGTTTAGGGCTATTTGCCAATTCAATTACAAGACAGGTCAGATAATTTAACATGCAGTTAGAGTTTACGAGCCAAATCTTGCAGGGCTCTTGGAAACAGACGCAACAAGTTGGGGGCCTTTGAGGAATCATAGTGGTATAGGAATAAATTAATGAGAAATGCTCACATCCCCATCTCACAATACTAGGATACCAATGAGCTCTGGGCTGGCTTCCATAAACGTCCAGTCCTGAACCAGCATTTTGGAACTATTGCATTAGCACATAACACTCACATTGCCACAGAATTAAGCAAGGAATAATAATAAAATACAAAATACAAATACAAATTAGCTCGCAGGGTGGAAGGACTTTGGAGGAAAGAAAGGAAAAAGGGCACCATCTTCACTCATTCTTCTAAAGCCTTTCTCTGTTACTATATAACACTAAACGGCTATGCATCCAGCAGATGGGGGGATGTCTTTTAGAGAAAGGGGAAAGGAAGGTTGTTCTTTCCTTCTGCCTGAAAACTCCATACACAGTGGGGGAGAAAGGCTTCGTGGTGGACATCTCCCTCACCTTAATCACCACTACTAAGAACCCCACCTTTAAGATTCTGTAAACCTCTAGGAGCTTAAGCAAGCCTGTCTCCTCCCTACCCCCTGCTCCAATTTCCTCCACAACCCTTTGAACTGTCACCAACATGTTGTGGCTCCTGGTGGGCAGGATGGATACTGAATCTTTGCATTGCATTGTTTTGTACAAAAGTTGTGCATTCCAGAGAATCTCCTGAGAATGCAGAAATTACTCCTTTGTCTATGAGGGACAAATTCAGTATAATTCCTATAAATCTTATATCCGATGAGGGGAAACTAACTAAATATCTGAAAATACCTAATACCCATAGGGTTACATAGTAATACCCATAGTGGCTCTCTCCAGGTGCACGTCATCCCTGTCTCTGAGCATTGTGAGATTTCAGGGTTCCCAAGCACTTTTGGAAATGAGGCACAGCGGAGACTGTGGTGTCTTTATGAGATATGGTTTATTTACACAGATGTACAACTTGAGTCTGCAATGGAGGGGTTCACAGCATTAACACCCCAAAAGGGTCTTGTTTCTACCGTAGCCGCAGCCTTGGGCTCAAATAGACATCAAACATGTTCTGACTGTATCTCCAGCTCGCTTCTTTTTCTCCCAGCCTCCGGCTTACATAACTCAACTCTCTACTGTGGCCTTTTGTCTTTCAAACTAGCCACAAGCTGGGTGAGGGGTCCGACCCATTTGCCCCTTTCCTTTGTATCCCTTAATGGCTCATTGGCCAGGCTATCACCTCAATGGCTTATATTTTAACACTTGCTGGATCCAGGGCTTGGAGGGGTATTTGTATACAATCTACTTCCCCACCCTCACCCCAAACTCATAACAGTACCATCAGAAATTACATAGGTAAAATGGAAGAGGTCTGGAATTTTTAAAAGGAAAATAACTTTTCACTTTAATTTTCCTATCCAAGCAAAGAACTACCTGCAAAAGCAGCAGCAGCAACTACAACAAACCATAGCTGACTTTTTTCATGCTTTTACTTCCCCAGGGTGTGTTTATCTTCAGTGCCGTGCAAATGACTCCTCTCACTTTGGGCGATTACGTATTCCCGGCATGGGGCCAAGGTGTTGGCTGGTTTATGGCTCTATCATCCATGGTGCTGATTCCAGGCTACATGGCATACATGTTCCTTACATTAAAAGGCTCCTTGAAACAGGTAAATTATGTCTTTAGAACTGTGCCTACACTTGGCAAGATGCCAGTTTCAGCAAGCACAATCTGCTGTTGCGTTCTTATTTACAATATCAAAGTATACCTCTTTGCTACAGTAAATTATCCCTGGGTCAGTCTTTTCTTATGATTTGTCCAAATGTAAATCAGTAGCAATGGCACATATCTCTATATCTACTATATATCAATATGATAGCGAGCCCCTAGAGAACTTCCTAGCTGAAGGGTGGACTATAAAACATTTAAATGAAATAAAGATTGGCAGCTAAGCTTCCAGAATATTGCAGCATAGGAAGGCCTCTCCATACCAGTTGCCATTAAAAAATGTGACAGGATTACTCAGGTTCTCACCTTCCTTTCTCCTTTCCAAGTAAAAACATGGCTAAATGATTTTCCCACTTTGTGACTGTAAAGATGAGTTCTAGCTGTATGAGTGGGCTTCTCAGTTTCCTCTGCCCCAATTTCATTTCCCTTTGCCCTGTTTCCTCCCAACTTCCACAATCTCTGGTCACTGGTTATGCTGCTTAGAACTAATGTCAGCGAAGACCCCAGCCCAGCAGGCTTCACCAACATCTCAGCTCAAATCTTTGTAGAGAATCTCAGCTGTTACACAGTGCATCAACTGAGAACGGCCACTTACTCAGTCTCTCTCTCTTTTTTTTTAAATGATATTTATTAAAGTTTCAAAGAAAGGATTACATAAATAAAAAGAGGGGGGGAAAGAAAAAGAAACAAAAAGGAAAAAATACAAAATACAAAAAAAAGATAAAAAACACTTAAAAGACACATCAGTCTTTCCATGCCTTACATTTCATTTCCTTACTTCCCTGACCTCCTCACAACTCCCTTTTTTGTATTCCAGTTCTGTTAGTTAATTCAGCAATTCATTTCCCTCTTTGTTTTTGTCTTAATCCTTTAACTTAATATATTATAACTTTGGATTTTCGCCTGTTAACAATCCATTTTTACATACACCTTTATAACATTACTGCTAAAACCACTTAACTTCATTCTGACATCATTCTAACATTCATTAATTTTGCAGTATTTCTGTAAATAGTCTTTAAATTTCTTCCAATCTTCTTCCACCGACTCTTCTCCCTGGTCTCGGATTCTGCCAGTCATTTCCGCCAGTTCCATATAGTCCATCACCTTCATCTGCCATTCTTCCAGAGTGGGTAAATCTTGTGTCTTCCAATACTTTGCAATAAGTATTCTTGCTGCTGTTGTGGCATACATAAAGAAAGTTCTGTCCTTCTTTGGCACCACACTTAGTCTCTGGGTGGTGGTGGTGGCCCATTGTGGAAGGATCTCAGCTCCATGGAGAAAAGGGCCTCTCCATCATAGCCCGGCCTGTTGGGGAATTTCCCCGGCTGGCCGCAAAGGAGGGTGGGATAGCTCACCATGCACTGGAATTCAAATTGGCCAATCATTGGCCCAAGAGGGCAGTGCTTGGGCAATGGGCCAGAATGAAGTAATAAAGTAGGCTGTCTGCAAATCTCAGTTGTTACACAGTGCATGGACTGATAAGAGGATGAACATTTTGATTAGGCAGGATTCACTGCTAGTTTACTATTTACTGATCTAAAAATTTTGTTATTGTCCCAAAAATTATTAATACCTGTCAGGGAACTGCCATCAGTACTGGAGGGGGAGAGCGAAAGCCAGAGGGATTCCAGAGAGCTTCCAGGGATCGGGAGGAGCAGCCCATCTTCTGGGGAAGAGAATCAGCGTAGCACCAGGGGAGAAGGGGGGCAGCTGGGGGAAGTGGTGAGGCGGTCTCATGACTCCTTGCCTGGGACCAGCAGGGAGAGTAGGGGTCCTCCGTTGCCCACGCCCTCCCTGCGCAGAAGGCTTCCGCGCAGAGAGGGTAGGCGGAGACTAGGCGTCAAAGAACTTCTTTGCTGGAAGAAGTTTAAGAAACGCCCACTCACGGATTCTGCCAGCGATTGAGTCAGCCACGGGTGAGTGGCTGTCCGGACAGAAAAGGTTCACTTTGGCAGCCCAGCCAGGTGTTTGCACCCAGCTGGGGAGATAGGCACCTGCTTACGCACGAGCAACCCCTAGAACCATTACAATACCATACACTGGAAAGTCATTCAGGAACTGTGGCCTCCTTCCCTCCTTCCTTCCTTCCTATTGCACCTTTCATGAATGACAACTACAGAACTGGAATATAAATTTAATGTAAGGGAAGCCATTCAGATTAAGAACAATGAAATGACTCTCTCTCTCTCTCTCTCTCTCTCTCTCTCTATACTGTAGCGAATCCAGGTAATGATTCAACCAAGTGAAGATATTACTCATCCTGAAAACGGACCTGAACAAGCCCAGCAGAGCAACTCTGCAAACAAAGAAGCATATATATAGTCTGGGTCATTAAAATGATACAAAGCTTCCTGTAGGGGGGCAAAAGAAAAAAGAAAAACCATACACAAATGAAACATGGTTGAATATGACCACAAATTTATGTCTGAGAATAAAATTACCTACCTCTAGTGGCACAAAAGACCATCACCACTATAAGGGAAGCAATGTGGATAAGATCAAACCATTTTGTGGGCTTAGTTGTTGACAATGTTTTGTGTTTCCTGGCAATCCATAGACTGTTAACATTTTTATTCTCTTTCAGTAAGAGCTGGATATCTTTGGGAATTTATAAAGACATGTAGGCCATTTTTAATCTACCTTTTAACACAACAATTTGAAGTTTTGTGCAGCTGATTTTTATTAATATATTTCATACTGTTTGAATCCCAAGACTGTTATTTCTGAGAACAGTTAAAACAGAAAGCTGTTTTGTATTCACCAGCAAAGTATTTTTTACCAAGAAAATTTACCAGTGAAAATACTGCCCTTAAAAATGTTGACCAACTTTATTCTGGAGTTGGTTTTTCTAATTTTCATGGAACTCTTCTGATATTCTACAGTATACTGAATCATTCATATACAAATGCCATTAACAAGCTATTTTGGGATATACAGTACAGACTAAATTGCACCACTCCCTAACCCAACCTATTGAGATGCCAACATTTAATGTATTATTTTATAGCAATATATCTTTTAGAATATTTTCCATGTCGGCATCTTTCAAAGTACTGGAGTGGTTTTTTAAACAAAAAACAAAAAGCCAGCCGCACAAGTGATAATATGACTACATACTTCAAACTGTGAAGAGTCCCTCCCAAAGGCTGCCATATTTAAAGCTGTACACGTTATCTTTCATTTAATCCAGGTTGTGCTTCACTTTTAAGTTGTGTCATTGGCAGGTATAGCACTTTCCCACAAATAGAGAACCAAACAAATAGCTTCTACATCGAGATGCTCCCCGCAGAATATAATTTAGGGCTTTAAAATTAGCACTGCTCTAGTCGGTCTGTTGAAGGTCTTATCAACAATAGAGGTTTTTGACTAGCAAGCATATTATAAAGCACTTTGAAGAAAGAATTTTATTTTTATGGTTTTATTTAGGTATGTATTTTTCATGGGAAAGATGGAGAAGTGAGGGAACGGTCTTGCCATAAACAGCTCCATTCTAGGCTCTCGCTTGCATTTTCTACACAGGCACCTAAAGCTAATGGATTTCTTCCTGTGTGGAAAATGGCAAGACTCAAGAGTCCACAAAGGCAACTCTTGTTTGGCAGCTATGAGACAGAAAGTGAGAATCGTAAGAAAAGTGGTATGTGATGTTTGATTCTAAATGACTGTGACAGAACTGTGCAATGAAACATGCTTTTCAGCGAAACCTTGTGCAACGTACAATGTTAGATAGCACACACTTTATGTAGAACTACTATGTGAACAACATGTTAACTGTGAATGTTGGTTTTTTTGTTGTTTTTGTCTGAAGGTGACAAACATATGTTCTTGCAATAAGGTATTATTCTCAGAATGTCAAGCACATTATTGTAGAAAATATATATATACATATATTTCAACTTAACAAATAAAAAAACCTCATAAAAAGAGTATTGTTTAGTAGGTTCTAAACCGTTTCATACAGTAGATCAACTGTAAAATATTCAGATATCTATGATACATGCTGAATATCTATAGATGAACTCACAAATAAATCCAAATGTCTTGTAGATTTTCAGGGTTTAGGGGGGAAAAGAAAAGAAAACATGTCATACTTCACTTGCTTCATATACATTATAACTGTGAATTTCATTAGACTTAAGATACAAAATTCAGACTTTCTCTTTATTGTTTATGTAACCAAGTCCCATGTTGTTCTAAGAAAAATGCAGTATTCAATGTTTGATTGTAAAACAATTATGACAGATGTTTGACAGATTTGCTCTTTAGCAGAATCCTGTACAAACGTATCATATATAGCACAAAAATAGTGTCGTAGAACTACTGTGTGTAAGCTGTGAATAGCTGTATCTTTTTGTAGTATTTGCCCTTAAAAAAGAAAGAATATATGATCATATATGCTTTTTGCAATAATTAATTATTCTCTAAACACCAAGCAAATTTATCTCTATATAAAAATATATATGTAATATATACATATTCTAAAATATATATAGAGCCTGTTTTAAAAAGAGAGAGTACAGTATAATTTAGAAAACTGCAATGTTCTATGGACCAAATGTAAAATATTTATAAAGATGCATTTTAAATGTCTATAAATGGTGTCCTAACTAAAGCACGGTTGTTATGTAACTTTCCAAGAGCTTAGAAAAAAGAATAAAAGTTATATTATACATTCTATGAAGTGGCTTTAATTTAATTCTTTAAGCAGAAGATTTTGAATGACTCTTACAAAGAATTTTCAGTATTTGAGAGATCTCTATCACCCAATTTAGGCATCGTATTCCCATTCCCACAATCCATGGTTTTTTGGACTTGGAAATATATAACCAGTTGCACATCCCCTACACCTTATCCCTTCTCTTATCAAGTTTCCTTTAGTAGAAACTTCCTGGTTTGTCAAATCACAGTTTCTCCACTGCATCTAAAACCTAAGGCTGGGTCAAATCCCACCTCCACCCCTGCCATTCACAATCCTTATACCACTATTCTTATCCCTCTATGATCAGCAGCATTGTCACCTCCTTGGTCACACTGCCCCTAATTGGCCTCATGCACTGCCTCCTTAGTAAATACTTAGGACACCGGCAACACGACTCATTGGCAGCCAGGAGTAAAGAAGTAAGGAACTGGTTTATGGGAACTAGAATGGGACTGGGCTATATTCTAGACATCAAGATACATTTTTTAAAAAATAAATAAATAAATTATGGGAATTAGCATATTTGAGCCAAATCTTTGCTTTCAGGGGCTTGCAACCTTAAATTAGTGAGTTATCTCTAAGCTGCTGCTCTTTCTCAAGAGAGAAGAAACAGAGTCCCAAGTCTTCAGTTCTGGATTCAGTGCCAATCAATGCATCTCTATCTGCATGCATGAATTTATAAATGCAGCCAAGTATGCATACTCTAATCAGCACAGGAGATATATAGATACACACACACACTTACTTTTCCCACTTTATATAGATACATCATTTGTCACTAGTTCAGAACTATTAATCATTAATGCTTTGAAGCACTGATTTTACATTACAGATGCAAATATAATTCAGTGTAATCTGAAAACTGCTTGTTAATTTTTTCACATTGTGCTTGCAGCCAACTATAAATATATCTCATACATGCTTGTAATATATTTTATAATATGTATTAATCAGTTCAAAACCTACATAAATTATTGTGAAATAGAACGTTGATATTCCACTAAAGGAGGAATAATGATTTCTGCCAGCAAGCCTTATCTCAATGACGGCGTTGAGCAGAATCTAACCTTGGCTTGACATTTTAAGAGTTTTTTTCTTCCTGAGAGGAGCAAAGTTAGGTTCATTTATTTTGAAATTTTCTCTTTTTTTTAATGTGATTTCCTCTGCACAAAGATCCTCTTGCTAAATCACATCCCCTGCATGCAAAAGGGTGCTGCATGTTAGATCTCTGCATCCAGAATCTAAGTATACATGCATGTCAGAAAATAATCTTGGCACAATCATCCTTGGCACTGGTCACCTTTCAGGGAAGCAGGAGTGCTTTCAGACTCTTCTTCCCTTCTTCCTTGTCCTACCAGCAACTGATGGTTGGGGCTGCCAAAAGCTAAACATAAGATTGTTAATTAAAAACAATTAAAACATTCAATTCTGGGCCTCATCAATAGGAGTATAGCATCTAGATCAAGGGAAGTAATAGTGCCACTGTATTCTGCTCTGGTCAGACCTCACCTGGAGTACTGTGTCCAGTTCTGGGCACCACAGTTCAAGAAGGACACTGACAAACTGGAACGTGTCCAGAGGAGGGCAACCAAAATTGGTCAAAGGCCTGGAAACGATGCCTTATGAGGAACGGCTAAAGGAGCTGGGCATGTTTAGCCTGGAGAAGAGGAGGTTAAGGGGTGATATGATAGCCATGTTCAAATATATAAAAGGATGTCACATAGAGGAGGGAGAAATGTTGTTTTCTGCTGCTCCAGAGAAGCGGACACGGAGCAATGGATCCAAACTACAAGAAAGAAGATTCCACCTAAACATTAGGAAGAACTTCCTGACAGTAAGAGCTGTTTGACAGTGGAATTTGCTGCCAAGGAGTGTGGTGGAGTCTCCTTCTTTGGAGGTCTTTAAGCAGAGGCTTGACAACCATATGTCAGGAGTGCTCTGATGGTGTTTCCTGCTTGGCAGGGAGTTGGACTCGATGGCCCTTGTGGTCTCTTCCAACTCTATGATTCTATGATTCCAAAATTTAAAACCTACAAGCAGCTAAAAACACATCAGCATTCTACATGTCTGGGTAGGCTTCTCTAACAAAAAATATTTATAGCAGCCACCGAAAAGAGTACAGTAAAGATGGCTGCCTGATGTCAGGAGCAGAGCTGCATACTGCCTAAGCAGCCTTTCTCAGCCTTGGGTCCCCAGATGTTATTGGACTACAACTCCCATCATCCCTGACCACTTGTCTTGCTAGGGATGATGAGAGTTGTAGTTCAACAACATCTGGGGACCCAAGGTTGAGAAAGACTGGCTAATGCCAACATCATTTGTTAATAAATGTGAAAATGCCACATGTATCAAAGAAGCTGGATACAATGTGTCCGCTTAGTGTCTGTGGAAGGAGCAAAATCAGCAGGGTGAGCCAGCCCAGATCTGGTCTCTCACCTTGTGTTGCTTCATTTATCCTACTGCTTCCAAAGTTTCCCTTTCAAAACTTTCTAAACCCACCCCTACTAACAGTGAGTTTTTATGTGTCTGGAACACATCAACATTGACTACGTTGGAGCTAAGAGAGAATGACTGTGTTAGGATTGTGGTTTGTATACATTTTCTGTTTCCTTAGATGATACTCTTG